AGGGGATGGATGGGCACGGGAACTTGAGGGATCAGGTTAGGGTGGGTGGAGAAGAAGAGTGCCAAGAAAGATGACTGGAAAAGGGAGTTTTATTTATGGAGTCAGGCAGAAGCCTGATAGAAGGGAAACTTTCAAGAGTCCACAATGATGGTCCCAGCTAAGACTCCTGGCAGCAGTGGAGGCATAGCCTGAACTGGCCATCCCCTGTGATCAGATTGGTGACTACCCCAATCACCATTGGAGAGCCTTCATCCAGTGACTAACGGTGGAAGATTCAGAGACCCAGGCCAAACAGTGAATTGAGCTCCGGGAGTCCTGCTGAGGATAGGGAGGAGGCAATATAGGAGTAGGGACATCAGGGATAACGGAGGAAAATCCACAGAAATGGCTAGCCTCACTCATGAGTCTGAACCAACAACCAGAGAGCCTGCATGGGAGCGACCTAGGCCCTCTGCATATATGTGACTGTTGTGTAGCTTCGTCTATTTGTAGGACTCCTGATAATGGGAGCAAGGCTGTCCTTGGTGCTTTGACTGGCCTTGGGAACCTATTCCTCACACTGGATTGCCTTGCCCAGCCTAAATACAGGGGAAGGTGCTCAGTCTTGTGGCAGTTTGATATGGTATGCTTTCCTGATGCCGATGGGAGAGAGAGGAAGGAAGGGGGGAGGGGAGGCTACAGTTAGGATGTAAAATCAATTAATTAATTAATTAGTTAAAAAGAGCACAAACTCTAGAATGTTGGCGTAAATCTTCCTTCTGCTATTTCTGTGCCAGCTGGCTTTAAGTAGCTAACCATTCTCTATACAATAGCAGTAGGGACAGAGGGCGCTTAGCAGAAGACTAGTTCAGTAAAAGTTACAACTGCTTGTAGCCTATAGAGTGGATACCAGTTTAAACATGTGTTTACAACAAAATGGTATTTTCAAACATGTAGCAAGGAGGTACATATGCATATAATGAAAAACAAGTTAGAGCCAGTGGTTCTCAACCTGTAGATCGTGACTCCTTGGGTCACATATCAGATATTTGCATTATGACTCATAACAGTATCAAAATTACAGCATGAAGTGTCAATGAAATAATTGTATGTTGGGGTGGTCACCACAACACGAGGAACTGTATTAAGAGGTCACATCATTAGGAAGGTTGAGAATCACTGGGTTAGACCTGTGTAGACATGCACTAGACAAAATCTACCCAATGGAATCTCAGTGGCCCCCTCTTGAACATGAGAACAGGTGACTTCCCACAGTTACTGGGCATTGTGAAAGATGCCCCAGGGTCCCCTGGGATAATTAACCTTGGAGGGCAAGGAGGGTAATATTCTTATTTTCTGTGTTAATCCCTCTGACCACATCAGAATCTCCTTTGAGTATACATCAAAGAAAAACTGATCAATTTTAAAAAGCCAACAAAAGGCCCCTCGTGGAACAACAAGAACAATGTACTTTTGTGGGGAGAATCACTTGTAAAAAACAGTTAACAGATTAGTGTTCAGACTAACAGCATTTGTGGTATCTGGAAACTTCCACCTGCATGCATTTCCAGTTGCCACCTGAGCTGATGAGGAACAGAGGTCCAACTCAACAACATGCCCTTCACTGGATTCTAAAGTTAAAGTTTCTGGACCTTTTCACTAATGTAAAACACAACAAAAATAAGACTGCACTAGAGACACAGTATTACCTCCCTCCACCTTCCCTGGGGAGCCTCCTCTTTCCCCTCTTCCCCTATCAGGTCACGTGTATCTGTTTATTCCTCTTTAGCCTCCTCCCACTTCCTTCAGTATTTACATCCCACCCCATCCTAAAGACTCTCCCCTTGCCCATTTCCCTGGCCAGATCAATTGTACTCTGCTATTCTCCACCCTGTTGTTCTCCATTTCCACTGTACTGGCATTAGGCCCATTTTACTCTCTTGGTTCCTGTAGATACTGCATGCTATGTACCCACACCTGAAGATTTGGAGCTAGGAATCACCAGTGAAAGAGAACATACGAATGTCTTTCTGGGTCTAAGCTACCTCACTCAATATGATCTTTTCTAGTTGCTATTGCCCTTGGTTACCACCCAGAGGTGGACAGTAAGTCCTTATTGCTGAAGACAGTTAGACACTTGAGAATCGGGATCAAAGACCTCTGAGCTGGAACTGGCATGAATTCCCCCTCCCTGAGGCCTAGCTTTCATGGTACCAGAAGCCATCATAAAAGCTTCCAAAGGAGGGAAGCAACCAACAGTCCTACCCAGATATGATGCCTTTGAATTACATCAATGAGAAAATTGGTGGTAACCAACCACCTTCTAATTGGACTTAAGACTTACTTAACAAGAGGGAGGCCATGCCTTGTACAGGAAACCTAGCCAACTACTCAGTGCTACTAAAATCATGGTTACTGGAGGAGAATCTCCAACCACTAAGTTACTAAACCAGCAAAGTCCCTAACAACAATCTATAAATATTTGTCCTTGTACCAATGGATAAGTGTAGTCTTCACCTCTCATCAAGGAAACGTCCCTTTGCAACAGAGACCACACAGAAAATCACAACCAAGCAAACTGCAGAGTATGGAGCTCAGTCCCAATAGCTACATCTACATCTACAAAATACTCCTTCACCTAAGTCTTGGGGAACATTGCAGAAAATGGGACAAAGATTATAACAGCCAGAGAATCAGGGAGCTTGATGTGGGATCGTCTCTCCCAGTAATGTCAGACAAAAACATAAAGTCTCACCAACATGACTGCCCAAATGTGAGCTGAACAAGGATGATACCAATAGACATTCAAAGAGGGTGGTATTGGACACAGAAAGAACTTCATTTCTCCAAATTCTTATGGTTAGACATAAAAAAAACCAACAGCATTTCTCAGAACTTTGTGAAGCCAGTTCTCCTCTATTAAACGAAGCCTCTCCCCTTTATATTGGCAAAATGGACAAAGGGCTGTCTGTGGTACCTATTAGTGCACCAAAGCACGTGCTGGCTTCCAGGCTCCTCAGTGTCACAAGTACCTATTACACATTTCAAAGTCTCTCCTCAGCTCTTCTCATCTCCTCATGTCCCTAAATTTCTTCAGCTCATGGGCTTCCCTCCCCCAGCTACCCATTCTTATAACACCTCTATTTTGGTTATGAGCTCTTTTGGTCCTGTCTCTGTCTTCATCTCTCACCCACCCCACCCCCTCACCCACCTCTGCCCCGTCTACTGGACATGTTCAGTTGACTCCTCTCTCTCTCTCTCTCTCTCTCTCTCTCTCTCTCTCTCTCTCTCTCTCTCTCTCTCTCTCTCTCTCTCTCTCTCTCTCTCTCCTCTCTCTCTGGCTACTTCCAGATGCCTCTGTTGCTTTCTTCCTCATATCTACAGTAAAAACCTTTCCTCTCCCATGGCCACACCATGGAGTAGCCACACAGTTTACACAGATGGGGGAGAGTCCAAGAGGCCCCAGTCCTATGTAAAGAGCTACAGCCAACTGAGGGAAGCTGAGAGCAAGAGAGCTAGTCTTCCCCAGGAAAGAGGACACCAAGTGATTGTCATGTGCCAAACTGTCGGCCTTGAAAATATAAATACAAGTAACAGTATATGGACTGAACAGGAAATATATATATATTGCAATGACAGTGAAAAAACAGGCCGTGAATTTGAAGGAGAGTGGGAGAGGTACACGGGAAGGTTTGAAGGGATGAAAGGAAGGGGAAAATGTAATTATATCGTAATCTCAAAGATAAAATAAAATTGAGAAAGAAAGAAGCCAGGGCTAGCTAACAGTGCTAATGAAGTCAGCTACAGAGTAGACAAAAACAGGGCTTCTTCCGAGGATCTGCAACTCTGAGATGTCATAGCAGTCCCTTTCTTTGAATGCCTACTGTTCTCTTACTCACTGAGAAACTTGTTCTCTAAAATCATAAACTGTCAGGAACTTTGCTGTTGAAATGAGATGAGTGAGAATGAAACACAGTCATGATTTATAACTGAGGTGCTAATCTTCAGAGAGCTTCAGAGTAGACAGATTCACAACTCTAGTCACCTAGCTCTGGAGGGAGCTGTACCCTGGTCCACAACACAGCGGATGCTGAACCGTTTACATACAGTCTTCTTATGCACTCACAATACCAGGAGAATTTACGTTTCTCAATATTCTGTGTATTTCTATCCTTTCCCTAGTTTAGTCTAAAAACAAAAACAAAAAAAACTCATCAGTTTGTCATAGCTGATACAGCCAGGTTACAAGCTAGCCCAGAAACAGCCCTGGTAGAGTTTACATAAGGGCAAACAGTTAATAAGCTTTATTTTTTTATTACATGTTCATTGCTCAAGATCTTGGTCGGGCTAAGGTAGAAAATGACCCTGACTTTTATACACACAGACACACACACACACACACACACACACACACTCATGCATGTGCGTGTATGCGTGCGTGAGTGTGTGTGTGTGTGTGTATCTGTGTGTGTGGAGAGAGAGAGAGAGAGAGAGAGAGAGAGAGAAGCAAAGACAGATTTAGGCTACAGGATATATATATATATTCACAAATGATAATAGATGACAGATACTATTGTAAGCTGTCTATAAGAGGTCAATTAGGTTGGAAGTAAAACAGTGAAGAAAAGATAAACCATGCAAACACTAAAATAATGGAGAGATTACATAAGTATCAGAGAAGTCAAACTGCCATGTTTGGTTGGTGAGGGCCCCATTTGACTATACTGACATAAGGGTTATGAGTAAGGGGCAGAAGTGTTGAGAACTCTAGTAATGACCAAAGGCTACACAAAAACACCTGAGGAGACTCCTTGGGGAACACAGAGAATTAGCAATTTTTGTGATTCTGCTATTTATTTATATGGAGTCTGGTTATTTAAATAGAGGGATATTCAGGATGATTGCCTTTAGTAGCAATTGAACGCTATTCATGTTGCTCTTCCTCAAGCTGCCATGTTAGGGAAATGCAGGGAAGAATACATCTCATTGTCAATGTTCAACCCCAGCGAACACTGTCTTACCGCATTCAACCTTTGAGCATGGAACTCTGCTGCTGTAAAGTACTTTCCTGGCTTGAGCAATTTATCAGTCATGTTTGATACATACACACCAATTTTATTCATCTGAGTGGATGTTGTGTTTATAGTTTGTTGCATCTTTTTCCTCTCAAAAACTGTCTAAAATAAAAACATTAAAAATAAGCACCTTTACATAGTTCCTATTGTAAAGAAAATCTTATAAAACATCTGCAAGTGAAAAGTGTTTTTCTACATATTTACATTAATCTTTCTTTTGTTATATTACTTGTCATACAATTCATTATGTTGGAAGTGGATGAGTATGTATTATTGACATGAGCATAGCCACGTCAAGGACCCAGTGCCTCACACCCATGGAAATGGAAAGCCTTCCCCAGATAAGATCCAGGGCAATAACAAGGCATTCCCTTGAGGCAGACAGTGTGTAGAAAACACCAACCACAGCTTCCTCCTCCCAGAAGACAGCAGTCTGACACTGCTCCTCAAGAGACCCTAAAAGATTAACTGACTCCTTATCAGCTGTATACAATAATAAAAAACACCTCCTTTCACATTAGATTCCACATGCAGTGGTATATAATATGTGCACAGAGTTTCTGGGCAGCTGGTGAATCTCCATCAGAGCATATGACCTACCACCAGATGCCCACTTATCTGACTTTTCTTCATTACCTGTCACTGCAGTAAGGTCAACCCCAAAGCTATTTGGCTTGTGGCAAATTTTAAGGGAGTCATAGAGTATGCAATTACTGATCCTGTAACATCACGCTCATAAACGGGACAAATAAAAAATTACCTGAGTGTCCCTACAAAACAAATTGGGTTTATGAGGAATCTTTCTCGGTACGGTTTGTGTTCCGGCGTTGTGATATTCTACTCCTGTTATTTTATGTCTAAATCCACCGAGAAATGGCTTGTGGAAGTCAGATTTTACTATCTCAACAGCCACCTCCTCGTAGCACTCCGTGCCTAAGAAGATGAAAACCAAGACTGAAGGAGTTCAACACAAGGGGTGCTGTAAAACATCATCTAAAAGGCATCAGAGGACTCACCAGTCTGTATGGTGACGGTTATGATATGGGAGCCCTCACTCAAGCCTTCTATTCTTCTGATTGGGTATTGATCAGGATGTGTGGAAAATATCTCCACCTGGACAATTTCCTGTGGTTTAACTCCATATTGTACTAGAGACTCATTATTCCCAACAATTATTCCTGAGAAAATGAGAGTGTTAAAATGGTTTAAGGCAAAGAAATGGTTGTTTCTGTTCATTCTTACTTTAAATTGAGAAAAACTGTGTGTTTAACTTGTACCAAATGATGTTACAACCAACACAGGCCCAGGTTGTAAAATGGCTAAATCAAGCTAACAAATCCTATACGTCACACACTTTCTATGGTGAGAATACTTAAATTTTACTATCTTCGTAGTTTCTAAGTATATAATACGTACTGTTAAGCATAATCACAGTTATATTCAGTGATAAGACAGGCATTCCTATTTTAAGGAAATGGAAAATATCAAAGATGTTTGTAGAAACACATGTCAGTAAATTACTAGATGCAGTATTAGTGATTTCTACCTCATGCTATAATGTTAGTACAGAAAAGTACACAAGACAGTAACTATAATTCAAAACAATTTAATATATTGTATAGATAACTAGAAAAGAGATAAAGAGATTTATCTTTTATTATCTTGCTCTATTGGTTCATATTTTAAATCTTGTTGAAGCATCATGCCATACATCATAATATGCATGTGATTGCATATCCATAAAAGTAAATAAATCTAGTCATGGTGGCTCATGGCTGCAATCCTAGCAAAGGAGATGCTGAGGTAGAATGTTCACCAACGTAAGAGTTCAAGTAAAACCTAAGCTATATAGTGACTACTAGACTGGGTTACAGAGGGAGACTCTGTCTAAGGAGATGGAAATGCTAGTTATATGATTAACTCTTCATGGTGTAGATTTATCACATAATCATCTCGTGTCCTACAAATAGGTCTAAATAAAATCAAAATAAGTAAAACTCCATAATGAGAATAGTTAGTGAATTTACTATGAAGCACTGTAGCAGTATAAATAGAGCAATGTGCCAGTCCTTCAGAAATATAAATATCTAATAACCATGAAACTCTATGAACACTTGAAAATAAAACCATCCTATGGTATGAGCAGAATCATGTACTAAACGTTTATACAAAAGACAACACAGGCCATGTCCAAATGGGAGAAGTGTGATCTGCCACTCTGGAAACTGGAGTAGCAAGCAAAGAGACCTCCCCACTAGCCATTCCACTCTGCAGTGCAGGAAAGCAATGACTCAGAATCCCAAGGAGTCCCTCATTCCCTTTCTCTTCCAACACAGTCTTACACAGTGAATGTCAGGTGGAGCCAAGCTTCACGACACATCACTTCATGTTTCTGTTACATTGCTTCAACTTCTACTCATTCCTTCCTGCTGTGCACTGCTGCTGCTGTGTTCAACTAAGCAGCTAATATTTTCCTGGTTTGGGGGATATAAAAATACAGGAAAGGGCTAAGAATGGTCAAGTTGGTAATGTGCTTGCTACACAAGCATAAGGACTTGAATTCAGATCCCCAGAATACACATCTGTAAGTTCAGTCGTGGGGGGGGGGAGCTTTCTGGGTCTTGCTCCCTAGCTGGTCTCCCCAGATCAGTAGGTTTGAGTGAATCTGGTTGAGTGAATTACTTGTGACAGACTGAACAGCAGCACCAAGAGTAGCCCATGTCCTGATCCTTAGGACCTAGTCTTACAGAGCAATAACGACTACAGATTTGGCTAAGGACTTGAAATGGAGAGCTAATCCTCATTGTCTAGCTGTACTCTGCTTACACATGCCCTTCTTAGAGAGGGGAAAGAGAGACTTGACTCAGGGGAAAGGGCAATGTGACAGAAGAAAAGTCAGATCTGCCTAAATATGTGTCTTTGGGGATGGATGAATGGCCAAGGAAGCACTGAATGCCAGACCTGCAGCTCTAGAAGCAGGAACGGCGAGCAAGTGGATTTCCCTCTAGATACCCCAGAGAGAGCAGCCCCACAGACACCCGACCTTGATCCCACTGAAAATGACAACTCTACCCTCCAGAACTGTCAAGGAAGTTTACTTTGTGCCTCTAAGTTATAGTAATCACTGCAGCAGCCACAGAAAACTAACATATATTCCCTGAGCTCTCTTCATTCCTATGTTCTTCTCTAGAGCAAGCACGGACCCATCAAGCTTGAGCTACATACAGTTCCTGTGCTGGAAGAAAGCACCTGTTTTGCAGGATGGTTGGTTGGCATGGAATCTCACATTTCTCTCTGTGGTGCTGACATGAACTTGTCACCCAGAGGTTGTACCAGTAACTATAAAGAAGAATGGTCAGTCATAAACACCAACAACAGAGCTCCTCTATATCAATATCCTTTAACTGATCTCTAAGCTCTCTGTAGCCTCACATTTAAGTTAATAACCTGTAGTTTAAACTTCTCTCTTTGATGTCATCCATTTCAAACTCAGCCACATATTAGTACATTGACTTTATAGGAGTTCCCTTAGTTTATTCTCCAAATAGAAATAATATATATCTCCCTCAAAGGGTTGCTGTGTGAATTAAATGATGAAATAAGCAGAATATTTTATAGAAATATCAACACATACTAATGACTCCACCATTGTGATTATCATTATCATTTTTTGATAATCATTTTTTGACAATCACTCCATACTTCAGCTTGGTCTGCCCAATCAACCTTTAATTGGTTATCAATACATCTTAACATTTGGCATTCATTCACTCTTGTAGGGTTTAAAAACTTTTATTACATTTTATTCCCTTATTTATTCAATTTGTGTGTGTGTGTTTGCATGCATGTGTGTGTGTGTGTTTGCATACATGTATGTGTGTGCATGTCATGGCACAGGAGTGACAGTCAGAGGACAAGTTGAAGGCATCAGCTCTCTCCTTCCACCATTTGGTCCCAAGTTGGTCCCAAGGATAGAAGTCAGGTGTAAAGCTTGCTTTAACTCAGGATCCCAGACCGACAGCTGGGAGGCCAGCATGGGACTGATCCAGACTCCCTGAATGTGAGAGTCAGTGAGGAGGCCTGGGCAATCCATGGGGCCCTGGGCAGTGGATCAAGTGTTTATCCCTGGCATACAAATGGGCTTCATGTGTCCATAACACAAAGAGGGATGCTCTCTCAGCCTGGACTCTTAGGGGACCCTGCCCTGAGCGAAATGACAGACTCTGGATATCCCCTATGTGGAAGGAAGTAGCAATAGGGTGGGAGGCTGGGGGGGGGATGGTGAGAGAGTGCGGGAGGAGGGGAGGGAGAAGGAACTGGGATTGACATGTCAAACAAGCTATAAAAAATGCAAAAAAAGCTTGCTTTAAGTACTTTGACCTGCTATGCCATCATACCATGCCCAGGCTTCTATTTTTAATGTAGAACTAAATTTATTCCCTGAGAACTATTTGTAACATCTTTATCAATCAATATAGAAAACCATTTTAATGAAAACATTAGGATTTGTTCATATACATCCAATATAAACATATCAGCAATGCTAACCTAGAAGACTACCACAGTTACAAAGAATTTATCCAATTACCATATGAAGCTGAATAATTTAAGCAAAGATTCTCAACAATATCCACAAAATGTAAGTAAATTTCACATTGTGAGTATTACCTTAACATAGAGAAAACTCGGGAACTATATTTATGCTCTATGTCTTCTTCAGCACCCATTTTTATTCAGCGTCATTTCCCTTCCACTTACTTAAGACATCATCAAGTTTCCCCACACCTTTGGAATTTAGCCCAAGAATTATCACTTTCATTGACTGAAATGTCCTATAGCCACCTAGGTTCCTTCCTCTGCAATATTCAAGTTTGAGGGGCCATTGCCATGAAAACACCTCCATGGTATGTGACAACAACCCCCATGCAAACCTTCCCTGCTAGTCTGTAAATGACCTGAGGACAGAACTAGTTCATCGTGATTCTGAAAATGTTCAGTGATATCCAAAGGCTCTAGACTGAAACGTGTGTTTACAGAAGTGTGTTACATGAGCTAATGTATAACCACAATGCTATGCTGAAGTAGTAACTACTAAGATAGTTATAAAATCAAAGGTCTTAGGTAGTTTGTGTGTCAAAACCAGGACAGTTATGATACATTTCTTAGCCTTCAAACTTACCTGTATGTGTTATTTGCAGTACATAATGCGGGACACGTAATAGGTATGCAAAGTGCTCCTTGAGGAATCTAAACGGAGCATCAACTCTAAAAGGCATTATGATTTCCTGGCCTACAGGAATAAGTACAACTTTTACTGTAAACAAAAAAGAGGAAAGAAAAGATCATCAGCAAATACAGCAAGGATCAGCAACCTGTATCTAAAGAATGGGAAAGTAGGACACGGGTTTGTTTGTTTTTCATTTGTTTGTTTTTAATCACGATGCATGTGGTGTAAGTTACATTACCAGGGATTACTGGAATATCCAAATTGACATAAAATCTCTGATTTGAGAGCTACTGATTTCTGTCTGGTGACACTGGCAAACTTTATCTTCTCAGTCTGCTCCTTGTCATCCTTGGCACAGCATGCAGCCGCATCTGAGCTGCCACCTCTGTGTTCTAGAGGTACATGTCACCAAAGTCAGTTGCTGCTCTTGAGGTAGGATAGAAAGACAGGGAAGCTATAGGACCATGAGAAGGAAAAAGAACCCCTCGCCTATCAGATTGCTGTCACTCGATGGGTGACAAGCAAGGATTCCAGCACAGTTGAAACTGCTTATAGCCTTTCTCTTAGCCCAGCTCTAAGCCTGCAGACTTCAGGGAATCTCACCAGAAAACACATAAATAAAGGACACATACTGAATGAACCCCTTTATGCAATCATATTGACCCCTTGTTCTGCTTTATCAGACTATAATTCCATCCACTATATCTCTGAAGCCATCCTATAAGCTCACTTAAAAATAGAACGAAAAGGAAATGTTTCTTAGCAACAGTTTGAAGTGTAACTTGAAAGCCACCAAAATGATACATATGGCAAATGGTAAGACAATTAATTAGGACTCTTGCAGAGTCTGCACCCATGTTCTCAGGTGTAGTTTACTTTCCCCCTGAGAGCCTCTCTTTCTTCTAACTTCATACTTAAAGCCTGTAGTAAAACGTCTTTAATAAATTCTCCAACTCTGCACCATCTTGGCTTGTTCTGCAATTCCCTTCTTTGTTGGAGTTATGAATGCTGGTTTGGCTTTTGAGGTCCCTAAAGGATTACTGGAGCTCTTCCGTGCTGAGGGTGACAGGAGTTGTCTCTGTTCCTTCATTGCTGATACTATTTCTGTTCTTTTTGTTATAGGTGGAAATTCTCAAAATTCACTGAGTACTGAGCAGTCAGCAGTGATGTAATCATTGGGTCGCTGCTGTTATCAAATATTGACAACACCTACATGGCATCCACAGTGTTCTACATATGTCATTAACACTGACCTATAATGAAAGCCAAAATGTGTTCTCCCAAGCCGAATATAACGTTTGTACCAGCCAGACAAAAACAAATAAACAAACATGCAAAAGCATCATGGTAATTAAGGCAATACCCAATGCAAATAAAGATCTGGATTCCACATTGTATCTTGCTAGCTATGTGCAATAGTTAACTCCAGGGGGTAGAGAAATGGTTCAGAGATTAAGAGCATTGGCTGTTCTTCCAGAGGTCCTGAGTTCAATTCCCAGCAACCACATGGTAGCTCAAAACCATCTATAATGAGATCTGGTGCCCTCTTCTGGCATGTAGGCAAAACACTGTATACCTAATAAATAAATATTTTATAAAAATAGTAACTCCAAATCTCCAAGCCAAAAAGATAAAAATTTACTTAGAATCTGTTCCCAATTTTCAGGTTCCTAAATACACTCAATTCCTATTCTATTTGAAATACGCAAACACACACACACACACACACACACACACACACATAAACACATTTTAAACTGAACTTTTGAACCTTCTCATTGTATTTTAAATTAGACAAAGAATTACCCTTTGAAACAGAGAGATACAGTGTCCGGTCTCCTGAAGCTCCTACCTGTTGCTGAAGATTCTTTTATTGACCTCTGCAGAGTCTCCTTTATGGCTTTTGTTTGACTCAGAAATAACATAGGGTCATCTTCCGGTCTCCGATACTCTGCCTGCTTTTGCTTTTCTTCCTGAGACTCGTCCCTGTGCCTGGCATCATACGACTTTGCAGTGGAAATGCTGCGTTCACTCCGCCCCTCTGTCGTTTCCTCGCTCTCGGTGGTGAACTCCTCTACTTCAGATTCTTGCTCGCCAGCAACATCCGACTCCTCTGCTTCTTCTGAAGGCAGAGGGATACTGATGACATCGGTAGTCGCTTCGCTGTCAGCTGTGGAGTCGGCTTTCTTCTGAGGGTCAACATGCTCCTCTGGGTCGGACATTTTCCTAAATTGAGACAAGTAAAGTTATGACACATGTAAGAGCTTCTTGTTGGAGTGGGACAGCTGGGTCTGTGGTTAAGAGCACTTGCTGATACTGCAGAGGACCTGGGTTTGGTTCCCAGCACCACCGGGTGGATCACGAGGGTCTGAAACTTTCCTTCCAGGGGATCAGAGGCCTTCTTCTGGCATCTTCTGGCATCCATGAACACCAGGCACACACACACACATATGCAGACAAGGCTCTCAGATACCTGAAATACTAATCCTTGGGGTTTTTTTTTCTTCTTTCCTAGATTTTTTTATTTAGATTATCTCACATATCAATCCCAGTTCCCTCTCCCTCCCATCCTCCCATGCCCCCCCAACCCTCATCCCATCACCCTTCTTTTATTTTTTTAAGGTTTACTAGTGACAGGCATCGGGTTAAAGCGCAGATGGGGTTTTAATTTTTAAAATTTTCTGAAAATTAAAAATAACAGAGAACCTTAAAAATGATATATTCTCTGGGAACATTTGGGAGTAAAAATCTTATTTTGTTTTTATTCAATAAAGCTTACCTCTTTAAGAAAAGATATGGTTGTTTGGGGGTTTGGGTTTTTTTTTTAAGAATATAAATCTAATGTGGCATGATAGCTTCTGGCAATAGAAAGGGTTAAAATTTTCAAACAACCAGACAATGTACACTGGACAAAAAAAAAAAACCTACAGCTCTACTCTCACAAATAGAAGCAGAGACCCCAGTGACCTCTGACCCAATAGATATCAAATGTAGGACATGGTGCAATGTAATTGGAGTCCAAGTTACAGTAACCAAGAGTTTGGGCTCATAACCCCAGGGGTTCCCATGTTGCAAGGCTGGCCTTACATGATTCAGTTTAAGTGATAGAACCTAGTGGGAGGTCACCAGGATCTCCCTTCAGAAGGCATCGAGGTAGTTATCTTAGGATCCCGAGATCCATATTTTTGGAAAGACAAGTGGTTTATTTAACTCACAGTCCTGAAGAGTGAAAGTCTAAGCAATCTGTCAAGGCAACCTCTGGCTGTACCACCTCATGTCAGATGGCACCAGGGTCGCAGGGCTGCCAATTCCACCCATATGAACAAGCTAAGATTTGGGGATTGCCTAAATGGATGCTACTGGCCAGCTCCAGAAGTTAAACAGACTTTTCACAATCGGAGACCATCCTATATTTGCAAGTCATAACATGCCAGTGATTTAAAATGGAGTGGAGACTGCATACAGCAGGTCTTTAATCCTCACTCAGCTAGGGTAAGCTGCTAATTAATATCTTTTCCCAACAGTCTCCACACGTCTATTAGCACACTCCACTTGCATACATAAATATGCACCAACACTCACCGCAGCACGTTTCACTTGCAAACGACCAAGCATGCACACTACAGGATGAGCTGCAAAGCGCCATGAAGCTCCAGCCTGAGTAGGTACCCACGGCATCCTAGCCACAACTCGGAAAGATTTTTAAATTACTTTTTAACTTTCTAATTTTTATTACAATTTTATAGCAAAGCTATGTAAGAGGATATAAAGATAATTGTCTTCTAATTCTAATTTGGGGTTTGGTGGTGAATAAATACATAAAAATATATTTGATATTTAAAGTGTAAAACTGACTGTAAAGTTCCACATCTTTCATTTCAAATGCTTATTCTAAGTATGTAAAAGTTCATTGAGCTGTATAGACTTTGGGTCTGGTTAATTTGGGTTTCTGATTTTTTTTTCAAAACAGGGTTTCTCTGTGGCTTTGGAGGCTGTCCTGGAACTCTCTCTGTAGACCAGGCTGGCCTCGAACTCACAGACATCTGCCTGCCTCTGTCTCCCAAGTGCTGGAATTAAAGGCAAGTGCCACCAACGCCCAGCGGCTATAATATTCTTAAAAGAAAAAAAATAAAGCTACTAGAACAGAAAGGGATAAAATAAACAGTAAAAGAAACCTCTTTATTTCTGTGTCGAGCAATATAGTTCTAAAAATTGTTCATGGATAAATTTACAATTGGAACCACACGTCTTTAACTATATAAACTTTTCTGCATATGCTAAACATTGATGTAGTTTTACTTGTTTTTCACTTAATGTATCTTTAATATTTATTTGTTTCGTTAGCTGTTTTTGGTTTTTTCGAGACAAGCTTTCTCTGTGTAACAGCCTTGGCTGTCCTGAAACTCTCTTTGTAGACCAGGCTGGCCTCGAACTCACAGAGATCTGCCTGCCTCTGCCTCCTGAGTGCTGGAATTAAAGGCGTGCGCCACGGCTGCCCAGCCTATACTTAACATTTTTAAACATTTATTTCTACCTTACTTTTCTCAGTAATTGTGTAGTATCTTCATTGTAGAGCTAAGGAAGCCACGTTATATTCCATTCTAGCGAAGAACACTTCAATTGTCTTCCATGCCAAATAAGTAAAAAGCAGGGCTGCAACAAATGTACATCATCTTTATTTATAAGTTAAAACACACTATAAAAGATTTTCTATAATTAGGTGAAGATGTCAAAATACATGCACATCTCTGTTAAATTCTATCAAATGGTTTTCTTAACATTCAACATCATATTGCTGCCCCTTGATACTTCTTTTCATCTTTGTATCGGACATTAAGTACCTTCATTTAAATAACCCTTTGTTGTATTTATAAATGCATTACCAATTGTGCACTTGATATTGTCTTTTACCACACTGAAGTTTTGGAGTCTTTGGTAGTGAAAATTTTTGAATCTTTTTACTTGTGAGTTTCCAAGTGTCACATGTCCTTAGAAACACTGCCTCACATGTAGCTTCAATACCTACACGTATGCACACAAATGTATGAGAAATACGGCAGGGCAGGAAATACTAGGAAGCTACTCTGAGATATACAGTGTTGACACAGAACAGTGGGCACTCATGTTGACTTCACCTACACAGCACATACACTTCCAACACCTCTGCAAGATCAATGGGTGGAGAGGAGGGAAACGCGTAGGTAAAAGATGGTTGATATTCAATTTTTCATTGCTAGAACATGTGGTGGTTTGAGTAAGAATGGCTCCTATAGACTCGTATGTTGAATGCTTAGGCAGCAGAGAGGGGTACTCTGACAGGATTAGGATTTGGAGGTGTGGCCTTGTTAGAGGTAGACTTTGAGGTTTTAAAAGCCCAATCCAGACCCAACCTCCTCACCCCCCCCCCCACCTACCACCACCCTGGTGTGTGGATCAGGATGTAGCTCTCAGCTACTGCTCCCCTGCCATGATGCTAATAGGCTAATGTCTGAAACTGTAAGCAAGTCCCCAGTTAAATGCTTTCTTTTATAAGAGTTGCCTTGGGGGAATGGAGGTTGGGAGGGCGAGGGAATGGGGCGGGGGATTGATATGTAAAATAAGATTGTTTCTAAAATAAAATTTAAAAAAGAGCTGCCTTGGTCATGGTATCTCTTCACAGCAATAGAACGGTGAATAAGACAGACAGACTGTCGTGCTATTTGGTGGAGGTACAGATCCCTTGACACAACATATCACTGTGTAATCAAGGCTAGCCTTCAGCTTGCCATCCTCCTGCCTCATCTCTACAGTGCAAAGAGGCATGCATCCCCAAGGGTGAATACTATTCCTCATTCTTATATATTATCTACTCAAAAAGGCTCTAGTCTCACGGTTTAAAACGCGACAGCTATTAAGTACTGCCCTCTAGTGCATGGTTTCAGTTCTTCCCATTTAAAGCCTGCTGCATCTGGAGTACTGTTACTAAGGCAGAGATCCTGCGCTGCGTCTACGAAACAGGCTACTTAAGTCTGTATTAGCAGGTGAGCTGATGAGATGGTGAGTGCAGGAAAGCAGTGTGCCTGCCTGGTGAGGAAAGTCTGAAGGCCCTGAATTCCCTGCGGACTGGAAACGGCCTCCATAGAAAACCAGATGCAGGCACCATCCTCTCCTCCTCCAGCGTTACCGTCATCAGCACCCAGGAGGCAGGGTGCTGCTGTACACCTCCCATCTTGACCCTGTTGATTGACGATATCAAATCAGGAGGGGGGAGTAGCTAGAAAAGGGGCTTTGTAAGGTTTGTGGTCTAAAGTTAAGGAGCGCTCCTCACCAGACGGTCCTGGGACCCGAGAGACTAGCACCCCTGTAAGGTCCATACACCAGAGTCACCCCCACTTACAACCAGCAGTCATCCAGAAGAGGGACGCTAAATGTGTCCCCTTACCTGCTCAAGAAACACAGCTATTACAGACCAAGAGGTTTCTCCACAGTCCTCGGAAGCAGCCCCTTCCTGCTTAGATAGTTTGTTGTTGGCCGTATCCTAGCAACTAGCAGCTTCCTCCTCCAGGGCACCGCCCCCGCGCAGTTGCAAGAGCAAAAGCCGAGAAGACAAAAGTGGAGCTTGTTAGATGCCAGGAACCTAGACCTTGGCGTGATTCGAAGCTAACCTCTCTCCTCCCGGAGCTCTTACACTTTGAAAATGTAGTCTGTAGCAGTCTAAACTCACAGGTTATTTTCTTTAAAAATGCAAATATGAACACTGAGAGACAGGGATGATAAAAGAACACAAGTTTACAACAGTGAGCGTCTACTTTCTGTTGTCCAATTTCAACTCTTGCGGCAGCTTCCTGGCAGCCAGAGAGAACAGGAGAACTATTAACTACTCCTCTTTATAAGTCAGGAGAAGCTTTGCTTTTCTGTCCTCAAATTCTTTAAAGTTTTAGAATCACAATTTTAGAGAAAAATGTTCACTGCACCAATTTCATGTGGTTATCTCATAACAGCAGCAGCTAACGTTTAGTAAGTATTGTCATTAAGCGCTGTATCTGTATTTTGAATAGTCAATGCAATGATTCTATTGAAGGACTATTGTACTATTGGGAAAAATGAAACACACCAAGATTTAATGAGAGAGCCGGGATTAGACCCAGCCCATAATCTAGACCCCTATTATTGTTAGTATTCGGGCATCTATACTGACCTGTCCTTGGGTTTCTGGCAGGATACGCCCTCAGCTGCAGACACTATGAGCACACTCATAGTGCTACCTGTGCACACTCACTCTGCTACCTTTTTAAAGGGCTCCGCCCACCTCCCATCTTCCTCTCTGTTTCTCTGCTGTCTCTTCTCTCTCCCGCTCTTCTCTTCTGCTGCTCAGGTTCCCAGAGGCTAGTCTCCCCTCTCCCTGTCCCCTTTTCCCATTCACTTTCCCCAATTTAAAAAAAAAAAACCCTCTGCCCAAGCTCTGTTGCGTGGCATCTTTCTCTCAGGCGTCACTTTTCTAAATTACAACAATATGTACTACTGTGTTTAACTAATAACTTGTTATACAGCCCATTCCCTCATCCACACTAGTCATTGTCTCTTCATTTCTTTATACCTTGTTGCTACAATTCCACTCTCTCCACTACCATTCACCTTCCCACCCCTCCACTTCAAAGGGTTAGCATCCATTATCCTCCTCTTAGGGGCAGTATGAAAACACTACGGTTAGGAATAGAGGTCGGAAGTAGGGCAGACAACACGCAGCAGGAAGGTTGGTGCTCTTTCCACCGATATCCGCTATCCTTCTCAATAACGTATTAGTAATGTACTATATACGTGATGCTATATGCTCAACTTTAAAACAGCCTTTCTTAGAGTGTACTTTTCTCACGTGGTCTATGTAGCTTGAGTAGCTAACATGCATTTTCTCTCTCACAAACACATGAAGGTGTCAATGTTCCCTGAATGAAAATAGTGATAGGAAAATACTATCAATACTATAAATTAATTACAAAATGAAAATAGTGCCATGCTAAAGCTTTTGATTTTACTTTTCATCCCAAATCTGTGCACTTGGTTAGGTTTTGTTGTTCCAAATGACTCCTCGACCTTCAGTCATCTCTGCATTCATTTGTAAGTTACTTCTTTTGGCGTGCTCCCACTTTTACGAAGATGCCATCTAGTGGACATATGAAATCAAGCATTTCAAAGTAACTCTGGAAATGCATCTTGATAAAAATGGCTAAGTAGGAAAAATATTAGAATAATTATTTGCAATACTAAGGACATGGACATTGCTTAGGAAATTGTCTCTGGACTAAATTTGCATCGTTTGTGAACTTGTAAAGGTCCATCATCACTTTCTCAAATATTTGAGTTATATCAGATACGTTTGATAGTCAAGACTTTACTGAATTTTGGAAGGTAATGTGGGTACATGGTGTGTATTAAGTATCCCATCTTCAATTCTGAATCAAACACATTGGCGCTTCTGTGAAAAAAATGCCTATTCAAATGAAAGTGGGATATGGACTAGAACTCATATTAACTTAGGTTTGTTTATTTGTAAACAAGCTGTTGGAAAATATTCTATTCCGTTGATCTTTAAAACTTAAAAGATTTGTGGGCCTGTTTTACCCTGAAGAAAAGGAATCCGTGCTCAGAGAGTAAAATGTGACATTCTGTAACATGGTAGTGATACTTATCTCTAAGAAAGCTACAAGATACAGAGAGAGAGAGAGAGAGAGAGAGGAGAGAGAGAGAGAGAGAGAGACAGACTGTGCCAAGTCAGTTCTTTGCACTGCTTCATTTCACTAACTAGTTTAAGCTGACTACCTCTAAAGAGACTTTCAAATACATCTCTGTAGTCCCTAGCAATTAACTCAAATCCCTTATCAACCTGAATGTACAATTTAAGATCTCACTGAACATGTTTTCCTGGAAAATTGAACTTATTGAATACAAGCAAAAACGCGTATTTAGCAATTTGGCATTTATCATTATGGCCCAGCACGTGCTTATATAGGGACATAACTTGTGTAAGCACAGAGACTCCAAGAAAAAGTTGAGCCGGGCGGTGGTGGCGCATGCCTTTAATCCCAGCACTCGGGAGGCAGAGGCAGGCGGATCTCTGTGAGTTCGAGGCTGGGATGGACCGATAGCCTCCAAAACAATACAGAGAAACCCTGTCTCGAAAAACCAAAAAAAAAAAAAAAGAAAAAAGAAAAAGTTGATACTAGTTTTTACATGAGAGTTGCCCCACAGATTTTGTCATTTTGAAGAGACACCCATACTCACTCTACTGACGCTCCTTAAGAAAGGGAGGAAGTCAAAAGCCAAGCCTTTTCTTCTAACCTGCAAATCTGCGTGAAAGTGAGGGGAGAATGAGACTAGGGGGCACAATGAAAACTGCATCTTGGTGGCATCACACTCAACAGATTGTGGCCCCCAGGAAGTGGCAGCCCCCAGAGCCTTACTCTAGTAGGGTGCCATGTGCTGTTTGTCCAGGATAGTCTACTATATAGCTGTTAGTTATCATTATGAAATCAGTATACACCCATTCACAACATTCAAAGCTGAATACATCTTTGGTCATGTTAGGTAAAGCCCTTTACATTTCAAAACACAGACTGCCCAGTAACTGAAACATTCAGCATTAAGTGCAGCAAGGGCAGGGAACACCAAAACTGAAGGTCATTTTCTTGTCTGCACAGCCAAATCTGGTTGGATTGTCTTGGAAGCACCTGAGTATGGTAAGGATTTGAATAGGAGATGTCGGAAGGCTACTTTGAGTAGTTTTACAATGGTTCCTTGCGGTTTTCTCAGTAGCCTTCCGACAGCTCCTATTCAAATCCTTACCATACCCCAGGTGCTTCCAAGAGAATCCATTGTAAAAACTACTCAGATTAGTCTAGAAGACTCTGGAAGCAACATTAAAATCTAGGACAAACAGAATCATCTGGGTAGTCAGGACTTTAATCTGGCTGTTTATGAAATAAATGGGAAAAGAAACGAAGGACTGAAAACAGGTTGTATGGGCCATAAGAACGGTAACAAGTGCAAAAGGGTAGATTAGATCAGTGTCTTGCAGACTGCTCTTACTATAATTGTCTATGCCCAATATAAAGACCTTGGCACATGACTTCCCGTGACGACTTCTGCTCAGGTACTTTGGCAGACAAGTCAAGGAAGGAGGGCTGTGGCATGTTTGGAACAACCTATATCGTACAGGCTGGAGTGACTATCATATCCAAGAGTACTGGTAAACAGCAACACGACGACACCTATTAGGAGTTCCAGAGATACACTGCCAATATTACTATCATCATGGCCTCAGATGCTCCAGCACATCTTATTTTACAGTGTTACATCACTAGGGTGGCTTCGAGGTCTCCTACCAGACCAACACAGATAAAACACAGCATCCCACTCTGAAGAGTTGTGTGATTTAGTTAAATACTGAGAAGAGTGGCTGGCACTCATATTCAAGGTGCAAAGAACACTACTACCACATTTACATACTAACTCCCAGAAATTCCTATGCAAACACCAATAAAGTCCGCTCCACTAAACAAAGCTATAGCAGCACTGCTGGCAAAATGTCAAAGAGGCTCAAAATAACAGGAGGAATTCAGTGAGGAATGACAAAGACACAGCAAGCTTACTGTGTGACCTCAGAAAGCCAGGGTTTTGAAAGAGTTCATAAGACTTCATTACCATAACCAACGTTGTCTCCTAAATATGTCCCGGAAATAAGATACATACATACTACTTTTCTTAACTGTACGGTGTCAATAACACGGACACATTGAAGCATGACAGAACATTTAATTGCACATTGAATTCCCATCGACCATCATTAACTGTGATCATATTGGCCACTTCCACTGGTTGGCAGGAGGCTCTTCCACCAGTGGCTCCCATGGCTTCCACTGCAGCATTTTCCTTGCCAGACTTAGTTCATGCTCAGCCTATTAATAAAAGAACAATTGAAAATAAGATCATTTGATAGGTTATTCAAGAGGCATTTTCACAGTAATACCTGGAAGTTAACTACTAGAACTCACACTTTCACTATCAGGATTCTAATGTCATGACATAGTCTACCGTCAAATATTGGTATTACAAAATTAAAGTTTCAGAGCCACACGGTCACCACTAAGAGTTCTGAGAATGAAATCTGCAGGAATCAGTGTTCACAAGCTCATAGAGACGGAAAACCTGTTCTTCCCTGACAACAGTGGCTTTCAACGCTCACCCAGGTTCTCCCTTAGCCGTCAGCTGCAAAGCAAGAGCAGCAGGGGATGGCACACACTGACTGTTCAGGGCCTCTTTACCTGAAGAATCACCTCTTCTACTTCACCACCCTGAAGCAAGTTTTCTAATTTTTTAACATCTGGTTCCTACAATTTTAAGCAGAAAGGAAAAAAGAAAATTAAACATAGAAGCATAACTTCTGAATATTTTAATATCCTACATGTTAAAAAACATATAAAAGCCCTTCTGACAAGCAGTTTTCTCTCACCATGAGCATAGGTTTTTACCAAGAATTTGATGCAAATCTAATCCATTTCTCTACTATTCCATTACCTTTGTCTTAATATAAAAGCTATTGAATATTAAAATACTTAGCAAAGGTAAGACATGATACATAATTTGGTCTTTGTAAAACAGATTTTCAAATATTTTATTTTTGCAAATATTTTCTACACCAGCTTTAAAAGAATTAACAATAAATGCTATCAGATAACCAAAAAATAATTTCCTCTTCTGGATAAATACCAAACAATGGATAATAAATTGTATATTCAAAAACATCACAGAAACCATAAATTACACCCCAAAACTAGAAATAACCTAAATGACCAACACCAATAGAACTGATCTGCCAATTATGGCACTGAGATACATACAGTAGAACACTATATGGCAATATCCAGATGATTTCCTCAAATACAGTGCTAAGTAGGAAAAAGCAGATATGAATGGGTAGATGAAAGGTATTCCATTCCTAGAGTTTAGAAATAGGTAAAATGGATCTATTATGTTAAAAAAAAAAAACAAAGCAGTAGCTACCATTAGGAGGGTAGTAACTTGGAACAAATGATTTGGTGATACGGAATGTCATTTGTCTGGTATTAATTAGAATGTGTTAATTCTGAAAAACCATCAAGCCTAACACTTATGATTTCTGTACATTTTTAATGTAAATTATTCTTTAAGGAAATCACTAATATTATACCTACACTATCTAAGGAAACTCTTCTCTAATAGACTGAACTTTTTAGTGTCATTATACAGGTGGGTTTTGTTCCATAAACGAAATGAAAAGAGAGTTAATGATAGCAACTTTGTACTTTTGACAGTATGGGAAAGTAGAAGCAAGCCTTCCCACATGTGAGGCAATGTTTAGCTGCTGAGCTACATGACCAGGAACATCTAGATCTTGGAGTGGGCATATTCAAACCAGCTAGATAAGGCAAGGGGCATTTGAGACAAAATAAAGTGACCACAAAAATAAAGCTGCAAAGAATCCTAAGAGCTGCCAGCAGCTTGGAGCTGCTGACCTGTGAGACCTAACAGAAAATGGCAGGGTGAGTTAAGAAGATAAAAAGCTAGGCCTCAGCAGACCTAACAGACCATGCCAAAATTAACCACAACTCTACCTCCAAAGTCATCAGTTAAAGCTAGGTTTCATATACACAGCTCGGGAAGAGGCTAAAACTCAAGTCTTTCAGAAGTAAACACAACACAGAGAACCAAAGGATGATTTTCAACAGGAAAAAGATGCAAGATAACATACTGAGAGTGCATTCTATTATTAGCAATATGAGATACAAAGTAAGATGGGACCACGAAAAATTAATTGGAAAGCAGCTGAAGCAGCAGAGGAAAGGATTTAGGTTCCTACATGAAGAGGTGATTCAGTGAATCCTGACACTGTAAAAAAGATACAAAGACCTAAGACAGTAAGTGTAGAAAAAAAAAACAAAAAACCACTGAGACACAGTTTTTGATGGGAACCAACTAAGTATCTCAGACTACTAAAAACAGTGATGCAGTGCAAGAGGGGCAAACAAGACAACAGACAGGATAAACAAGACGACAGGATAAACAACAGAACAGACAGGATAAACAACAGAACACAGGATAAACAAGACAACAGAACAGACAGGATAAACAAGACAACAGACAGGATAAACAAGACAACAGACAGGATAAACAACAGAACAGACAGGATAAACAAGACAGGATAAACAACAGAACAGACAGGATAAACAACAGAACACAGGATAAACAAGACAACAGACAGGATAAACAAGACAACAGACAGGATAAACAAGACAACAGACAGGATAAACAAAGGTCAGGGAAGCGGGAAGCTGAGAGGAATCAAGGCACAGTGCATCAGTTGAGCTGTGAAAAGCAGGGACATACTTACTCTGTGAGGAAAAAAAGACATCAGTTCATTTGCCTCAAACAAATCAAGCCACCAGTAATCTCCTTCAAAGACTGAGTTTGTACGTTACTTCCAGACTTGGAAAGCTAAGAATCAAAGTTAAAACTCAGACTGCTGTTTAACTATAAAAAGAGGTCTCATTGACCGACGTTTTGATAACCTAATTATATATATACTGTTACCTCTTATGCCCAGATGGACAGTTTTTGAATTCTACAAAGAGTGTGAAATAACCATGGGGGTGAAAGCTTGGTCACAGTGTGACAGAGTTCAATGAAAATGGCAGTTCTCCTCACTGTCTCCCTACTCAGCACTGTGACTAAGAGCTGTACAGGCTCCATTTGGTAGGCTACTGTAACAAAATACATAGAACTGGATTAAACCTTAGAAATTTCAGCTGAGCCTTGTGATACAGACGTGGAAGCTCACCTATTCTAGGTGCTGAGGCAGGAGGATTGCAAGTTTTAAGCATGCCTGAACCTACACAGAGTTAAGTTCAAGTCTGTCGTTGGCAGGTTGGTGAAATGTGTCAAAATAGGAAGTAAAGGAGGGGGTGGGACTCATGTGGTATGCTTGCCTCACTTGTGGGAGTTTAGGGTCAATCCCTAGGACCACTAAGCAAGAAGTAAACCTGACTGTTCTTGTAGAGAGCAGACAACCAAAGTCAAGGTGACAACATAGTTGGGTCTAGTGAGGGTTTGTTTTCCCCCTGAAGACACAAACCGCTGGCACTTTGCTATGTGTCCCACATCCTTCACTCGCTGGCCTCATGGCAAGGGGCAAGCCCTGACTGTCTAGTATCTATTTTTACATACTAATCCTTACAAGATCAGGGGCCCACCCTTGTGAGTTTACTTAACTTCAATTATTTCCTATGATGATTTCTTTCTAAATAAAACAACACCATAGCTGTGACATACAGGTTTCTGGGAACAAAGTATTCAGTTCCAGTGTTAACACTGTTCAGTGTAGCTTTGAGTAGGTAAGAATACCAAGTGTGGCCCTCTTCCTGTACAACAAAGTGCTTGTGCGCCTATGGGGTCAGCCATTGAACCTAGGGCTCATACATGTAGCCCAAGGTGACAATGAATTTGTGGTCTTCCGGCCTCAGCTTCCCTAGAATGGGGATTAGGGGCTTGCATGGCCAAGCCCAGGACAAAGTACTTTCTAAACTAATTATTTTGACAGCTTTCTGTAACATCACACCATGACACAAGTCTCTTGTGCTTCTATTCTTCTCTACTGTGATTAGAAACCAAGATGGATGCTTCTAGAGTAAGAGGGAAACGGTCCCTGACAACTAGACAAGGAAGAGTGGTTCAAAGGACACCTGCACGTCCTCAGGACATGGATCCAATCTTACTCTTCTCCAGCAGCGCTTCACACAGGGATCAGTCAAGTCAGGGGTTTGCTGAAGGAAAGGACAGAAGACGGAAGCACGGCACTGAAGGAAGACAGTGCAAACTGAGAGCTAAGACAAGCAACTGAAAACATTCTTAAAGGTCTTCCTGATGGATAAACCCAACCAGCCAAACCCACTCAACCACTTACCGCCTTCACCATATCCAGCTTCTCATTGGTGATCTGTTCTGTGTATTTTCTATAGGCTGCATGTTGAGGGAACTGTTTCATAATATCAAGAATCTTTGTATACAATATTGTTAGCCTCTGAAAAGACAAATGATACACATTTAAGTAAGTTAAACTACCATCAAAGATTAGACAGAATACATTTCAGTATCTCACAGGAAAAACTAAAAGAGGATTCATAATTTTAAAGTGTGTTTTACTAAAATTCATATCTATGCTCAATTACAACCTAAGGAAAAGTGGAATGCAAACATGGAAATTCTTTCTATCTGTGATGCATATAAAAATTAGGCCAGGCATTGGTGGCACACGCCTTTAATCCCAGCATTCAGGATGCAAAGGCTGCCACACCCACACAGAATTTAGGTGGACGATGGGGATCTAAACTCAGTACATTGAAATTTTTTAAAGAAATTTGAAAGGTTGGGGTCTGATTTAAACTCTTGATTTGGGCATCCTTTTAATCCAATCCTTATCCTCTCAAATGTATCAATATAATGCATATATTCATTTTTAATACAGTATTTTAATAAGTTTCAATCTGATTTTTTAAAGATGGAAGGGAGTGGTGACTAGACAGATGGCTCAGTGGTTAAGAGCACTGGTTGCCCTTCTAGAGGACTTGGGTTCTATTCCCAGGATCCACAGAGAAGATCACAATTACCTGTAACCCTAATCCTAGGAGATAAGGTACCCTCCACACCAGTACCAGGTACACAAGTGGTACACAGACATACATGCAGGCGAAACATTCCTACACAAAAGTATCAAATAAATGGAAAACAAACTTTTCTCATCTCTCGGGATAAAAAAGGAACACATCTAGCCTTACAGAAATTCAGATGAGAATCAGAATGATCAGCATAGGACAATACAAAGAAGAAAGTGTCTATCTAATTTATTACCCAACCTGGGGCACTTCTCACAGTGAAAGGGGACTTTACTCATCACTATGCCACACTGCAGATGTAAACTGAGCAGTCCTCTCAAACAGCAGACCCTACCTGAGCACTCAGAGATCACAAGCAATCAGCACCTCTAAAGAACATGTCTGGTTTCAGTAGGATTGGATTTTACAGTGCTGCCACGTAAGTACCATGTGTTCTTTGGTTATAAGGACAGGCTGCACATGGATCAAACCCTTTCTATATACAAGAGACTGGTTTAAACACCATAAAACACAAAATCCATTTACGGTAGGCCAGGGTAAGATACAGAGCAGGGAGGTAGTACTAAACAAAACTAAGAGCTCACTGTTTGCATTCACATAGCTCCACAGCCTAGTTGCCTGGACAAGCTGCTTCTACCTAGATGCCCTCATTCCTCATCCGTAAGATGTAGAGAGTGTATAGGACCTTGGATCACAGCCGTACCAGCCACATACTGTCTCAATCTCAGTATTAGCATCCTATAAAGGGAAAATCATTTCAGCAGAAAGCAGAGGGGTTGATTAAACAACAACAAAAAAAAGATGCATCGGAGACACCTTTGAGGGATAAAGGTAGTTGAAAACTCAAAGGTGTTTGGGAGAAGCAACTTACATACAAAGTAACACAGGCCTAGATGGCAAAAGCACCAAAATCATACAGGAAGTAGCTCTAACTCTGCAGCTGTGCTGTGCAGTCAGCAGCTGACAGTCAAACACAGCTGTAGGGTACTTGAAGTGCAACTAATCTCCACTGAGATGTGGCACAGGAAGAATACATCGTAAAAAAGGCTGCAGACTAGCACTGATTTTCATATTGATTATATACTAAAATAGTATGTCAGATGTTAGGTTAAATCATAAAAATAAAGAAACCTTTCTTTTCCCTTTGAAGCGGGGTCTTAACTGTGTAGTTTAGACTGCCCTCTAACTTAAGACCCTCTTGTGTTAGCCTCCCAAATGCTGGGATGACACTCATGCACCATTTTTAGTTTTCTATATTTAAAAAAAAAATGGAGTAGGGCGGGGGTGGTACACTCCCTTAATCCCAGGACATGGAAGGAAGAAGCAGGTGTATCTCTGAGAGCTTGAGACCAGCCTGACCTACAAGAGCTAGCTCCAACACTACACAGGGAAAGTCTGTGTCAAAAAACCAAAATAATAACAATAATGATGATAATAATAATAGTAATGATAATAATACAAAAGAAAAAAGAGGTAATTTCTAAAAAACTTAAAATTACATTAAGACAGCTTACATGTTTGGTGCTCATATTTATTTGGGTAGCAATTGACTAGAAACGAATATACAAAAGAACCACTTAGGAGATAAGATAGGAGAAAAAGTTAGACTGCATGTAATTTTACATACGAAGTTAAAGTACTTGGGCCTTTTTGTGTGGGGAGCTAAAAGGCTTAAGAAAAAGGTAGTTAAGTCTGCGTATTAGGAAAATTAACCTGGCAGTCATGACTTAAAAAGAAAACAAATCAAGAAGGCCAATAATGAAGCTGTTGCAATCAATAAAACTATTGCTGCACTAATGAAAATGAGGCCAAACGAGAGTATTGGAGAAAACATTCAGAACACTTCATTTATTGGAATAAATGTGAAAGTAAAAGATTCTAATATCAATGACAAGAAATCCTGAGTGGGGGCACAAAGATTCACGGACATACAATCCATAGAGGAAGAATACTAGAAACAGAAGACTGTGGCTTCCGTTCTCCACAGTAGGTCTGAAGCACAAATTTACAAAGAATGCAAGAGAGTCACTCACTGTGCACTGACTACATACTACATAATACATACTACATACTCATCCGAGTTCTAGCAGTGAACACACAAAAAGTCTTATCTTTGTCAAGCCTGGGACAGACAAGATACATCAGCAGAATGTGGCCTGTTAAATGATGACCTGGAAAAAAAATCCCTAAAAGGACACTAAAACTGAGAAACCCTCTGGAAGGCTTTAAAGAGGTGGCATGACCTGACTCATTTTATTACAAATCAATGGGGAAAAGAAAGGGGGGGGGGGAGCAGTTACCAAAGTAATGTAATATCACAGAAGTGAGGACAATGACAGGAAAATGGTACTAGCAAAGGTGGTGAGGAGTATACAAAATCTAGATATAGTCTGAGGGTCAAATCCAGAGGATTTACTGAAATAGCAAGTGAGATAATGAAAGAAATCCAGTATCATTTTAAATGGGAAGTCTTAGCTGGATCTGTTAAGTTTGGGTTACTGGTCTGGCACATACGTGAAGATACAAGAGCATGTGTGTATATAGATACATACATATATAAATGACTTGATAAGAGGAGAGGTCAGTACTTGATAGAGAAATAGAATTGACTATTTATAGATAGTGAAATCATTAGACTGTCTCCACTCAATTTAAAAACTAAGAATTGGGTCATGAATACTACAAAAAGTATAAAAGTGGGGAAATAAGGAACAACTGGAAAAGACAAAGGATTAGGAAAAAAGCAGTAAACACCCTCCCCCCCCAAAAAAAAAACCCTAAAATAGGATACTGAGAAGCCGCCCTGACACCCAGTAAACAACTACTTAATGTAGAGCATCAGAAGTGCCGGAAACGCTGCTCTTGGGCCAGGAGATGGCACAGTAGGTAAAGATACTTGCCAGCAGCCTGATGACCTGAGTGAGCCAGCTGCCCAGGACCTACTCGGTGAAAGGAGAGATCCAACCACACAGAGTTGTTTTCTAACCTACGCGCACACACACACACACACACACACACACACACACACACACACACACTGGCGCATACACAAATAAATACAATAAAAACACTTTCAATGCTATTCTTGGTAACATCAAGAGAAATGTGAGCTGACTAGATTTAGCATCACTGGTATCCTGGGTAACACTGACAGGAATAGCTCTGACCAGGTCTGGTTGAAGTATATTGAAGAGATAATAGAAGCTGGAAACAGTAAATACTGATAGCTCGAGTTATATTTGTATTCAGGGAAGGAGGGAAATTTCAGGAGTTTTGTTTAGGTTTGTTTCCGTTTTTTATTTTTGTGGTGGATACTGAAGGAGGCAACTATTAGTGTGGTGGGGAAAGCCAGCGTGTGAAATCCAAGGCAGAAATGTTTAAGGCAGGGAAAGGATGGAAAATCAAAGTGCAGACGTGGAGGGCGCTGAGAATAGTCCACACAACCGAAGCTAGAAAATGCCAAGAAGAAAGCTTCCTGACAGGGAGACCACGGCAAAGGCCACCTCAAAAACCGTGGCAAGAGTTGGGGGAGGGGGCTGTCAAGGACACACACACACACACACAGATGGAGAGGGAGCGAGCGAGGGAGGGACAGGGAGAGAGAGAGAGAGAGGGACAGGGAGAGAGAGAGAGAGAGAGAGAGAGAGAGAGAGAGAGAGAGAGAGAGAGAGAGAGAGAGAGAGAGAGAGAGAGAGAGAGAGAGAGCACGTAAGCTCCTGGCCTGTTAACCTTGCAAGACCGAGGTCACACACTCACACACTCACACCACACACACACAGATGGAGAGGGAGGGAGAGAGGGAAGGAGAGAGAGAAGAGAGAGCGAGCACTCCTGGCCTGTTAACCTTGCAAGACCGAAGTCACACGCTCACACGCACGCGCGCACACACACACACACAATCACAGGCTCACACACACGTACACACACAGGTACACACACCACACACATGTACACACACAGATACACACACACAACACACAATTACAGGCTCACACACGCACACACTCACACACAGAGGTACACACACCCACACCACACACACGCACACACTCACACACAACACACACTCACAGGCTCACACACACGCACACACAGAGGTACGCACACACAGAGGTACACACAGGTACACACACACTCACAGGCTCACACGCACACACAGAGGTACGCACACACAGAGGTACACACAGGTACACACACACACTCACAGGCTCACACGCACACACACAGGTACACACACACAGAGGTACACACAGGTACACACACACTCACAGGCTCACACGCACACACACAGGTACACACACACAGAGGTACACACAGGTACACACACACTCACAGGCTCACACGCACACACACAGGTACACACACACAGAGGTACACACAGGTACACACACACTCACATACACTCACAGGCTCACACACACGCACACGCACTTACCTCGTGTGGAGTGTCGCACACAGCCAGTCCCACCAGGCCGGTGGTCTGTTCGGAAAGAAAACACAGCCGTGCTGTTTACGTCGCCCGCGCAGCAAAGCCAGCCCGCCCGTCCCGGGACGGCCCTGCACGGGCTCCGCACGGCCCTGCACGGCCCGCGGGCTCCGGCCCGCCCGCCGGTTACCCACCCTCGGGACGGAACCACGCACCCGGCCGCCCCCAACCGCGCCGGCTTGGCGTCTGCACCCACGGGTGACGGGGTCGCGGCTGCCTACAGCCCCGGTCCACGGCACCGCGGTGACCTCCACCCGCTCACCTTCTTCAACAACCCCGCCATGACAGCACCCGGAGCCCGCGGCGCGCGGCCCTCTGGGAACCAGGCCTGCTCAGTCGAGCGTCGAGGCGGCTCCTGCGTCACCTAGGTAACCACTGGGCTCCAAATGCTGGGGCGGGAGGACTGGGGCGGGGCCGGGTTGTTCCCGCCCACCTGGAAGGGATTTGCGCATGTGCAGTTCATCCCCAAGGCTCTGCTGGGGGGTTGAGCGCACTGCAGAGACTGACCGGGAAAAACGCCGCACTACAAAAAAAAAAAAAAAAAAACTCTCAAATGCAGTTACTGCAGGCGCTTTAATTCTGCCTGTCACACATGTCCTCACGAGCACTTACTTTCTCAGCTCGCTGAAGTGAGGGCGAGAGCCGGCCTGAGCGTCACGAAAAATGCTCTTCCTCCGCATGTGTTGAATCCATTCTCACGAACGGAAACTGTAAAGTGGAACTGACCCTCCGATGCGTCCGTTTGCTCTCAAGGAAACGGATGAATGGGAGGTTATGAAGTCACAGTCTCCCTACCCTCTGCCTCCAGATCCTAAGGATGCCTGGCGTTGTTGAGAGTGTTCTAGAATGTGGAACCGTGGCTTTATGAAAGATGCCTGCGTTCTTTGACACTTGGGATTCAGGCGTCTGCTGTGCGGTATTTGTTTGCTAAAGACACCGAGGGTAGACAGACCTGGCTGATCCTGGCTAAGGTACTACAAAACTGATCGCTTCGTGTGGTACCAAAATAAGTTTAGGTTTCTGAAGCAACCTTTTGTAGAGGGGCGGGCGCACGGTGAGTGAAGGCTCGCTAGTGGTATTCCAAGCTAGTGACCGTGGAATTCGCTATAAAGGGACACATCCCGTGGCATCTGTGATATCAGAAGGGGATCTAGGAATGTCTTAGCAAACATTATAAGAGGATAGAATGTTCTGCGTTCTCAGGTATGTTCCAATCCTGGGAAAGATGGATGTTAGGAAATTCTGTGAATGCTAGAGAGATTAGAGGCAGGAGAGCTAGCGCCAAACTTTTGACCCTGCAGTTTACAGAACTTGCTCTTTGGGCCCTCTAGCCTGGCCAATGTGATTAGGAGCCTCCAGTTCTGCTTCTCGGTGATGGAAGCATTTTTTGTTATTGCTGTTGTTAGAAGCTGGATCTTATCAAAGTTAGGTGATCAAACCATCTCCTAGAAATCCAGGCCTCTGGCTCCACTGAGGGAAATACTAGCAAAGCAACGGAAAGAGAGTCTTGGTTTCCGGTAATGGCGAGGTTGTTCCTGAAAACGGCCCAACTGGACAGCTCCTTCCTTTGACATTTATCTCTTATCATTCATAAGCATAGCAAAGGTGAAAACAATGCCAAACCAGAGAGCTTGCATCCCCCTCCGGAAGAGAGAGGGGAAGAAGAGAGAGAAAGGGGGGGGAGGGGGGAGGGGGGAGAGGGAGAGGTGAATCATTAAAGTAGAATAACAACCAAACCCCAGGCCTTTGGAGATTATGTACCTCTTATAGCATTTGCCCAGAAACAGGCTTCTTTCCAACTATTTACACTTTTTAATATGGACTCTCCTAGAAAGTGTAAAGATGGTGACATCTAATACTCCAACCTGGATTGAAATTAAGTTAAATATTAAGATTAAGTATACTTTCTGTTGAAAATATATGGAGAAGGCAAGCCAATAGGCCATCAAGTAATAATGACTTATGGCTCTCTTGCCCTGCTCTGGAAGGTGTCTCTCTTCATTTCTGCACATACATCATTAAAAATCAAAACAGAAAAGTATAGAAGAAAATGAAATTTTTGATGACAATAAACAAATTCTATGATATGAAGACAAATAAGCATAGAATATTCTAATAGATAAAAATTCATGGTTATTTTTAAAAACTAACACTTATGAATCAAAAGATAAAATTAGGCATAAGAAAAAAATGTTTGAATGTGGCAACAATAAAAATATTTCCTAAGTGTTAACACTCTGTTTGACTAATCTCATCCAATATACAATGACAAATTAAGTGAAATAAGACTAGTTGAATACAGAATGTTAAGAAGGGACTTCACAGGCCAGGTGTTGGTGGCACATGCCTTTAATCCCAGCACTCGGGAGGGAGAAGCAGGTGGATTTCTGTGAGTTCAAGGCCAGCCTGGTCTACAAGAGCAAGTTCCAGGACAGCCTCCAAAGCCACAGAGAAATCCTGTCTTGAAAAGCCAAAAATAAAAAAAGAAGGGACTTCACAAATGAACTGAAATTCGATCACACAGCAGAAGGCTGAGCTAATCACTCACCGAGATGTTGCACTGATTGCTTATTCTGTGACAGCCAGAGGTGCAGACACGATAAAGCTCTGCTCAGAGTGAGTGAGTTGGGTCTCAGTGCCCAACAAGCTTTGCAGTGGCTAGGTACTGAAGAAAAAAAACTTTAACAGAATTCTGCGACCATCTCCAAAGTGTGCAAAGTGCAGCATGTACTTAGGAGGGCACAGAAGCCTCTCTGAGAAGGTGATATTTATGTGGAGACCTGAGGTGAGTAAGAAACTCTTGTCACACAGAACTAGCTACAGGATGCTGCTGCCAGAGGGAACATTAGAGCAGAAGTACAGAGGACAGAAAGGCCTGTTGCCACAGGCAGCTTCAATGCCAGCGTCACCTAACCAAGGCATCTTCTGATGAATGCAAAACCTTCAGCTCTCAGATTGCTCTGAATAACTGGATTCTCCTTTCATTTTAGCATCGCCTACTTCTTTGGAAAAATTCCACTACAAAGAAGCAAGCAATAGCAAAATATCATGTTTCCTAATAGGACTGGTCAAAAACATTTAAAGAGCGGTACAATGGTGTAAAAAAAAAAAAGGAATAGATTTATGTGTGACACCTGCTTTAGGAGCTGACAGGGAAACGGGCAACAACACCTTCATTAACAACTGGGAAAATGAAAACTTGGAGAACCTCCCAAATTCTGGCTAAAATTGTGAAAGCTTTTACTAATCTGCATGTTTTGAAGGCCAGGGTAAATATTTTAGTCATAAGTGTGCCCCCCCCACACCTTTACAATTTCAGCAAACATGGCTTTGGGGCCCAAGAGCTTCCTTGTTTGTAATATGAAATATTACGTAATACAGAATCTGTAACTCATAATGCAGTAAGAAATAGTCTTAGGAGTCTTTATATTTAAACAACCCGCCCTTTCTGTGTACATTACCGAGTAATCCTGTAGTGCAGAAATAATTGAAACATCCCAAGTGTCTCTTCTTTTCCCAGTTAACTCATAAGACATACAGCTTTTTGACATATGACATACAGCCTTTTGACCAGCAGGTGGTGGTAGAAGTTAATGACAAGTTTACATCACTCAGACAACAGAGGATTTTTGGTTTTTGTTTTGTCTACGTGTGTGGTGTGTTTTACCTATTCTGGAAGTTTCATTTGAGATGAAATATGATCAGTAAATCATAAAAGAATCTGGGCTAAAATATCTCAGCATCATGTAAATTGTAAGGGAAAAAAATCTATTCCAAAGTAGCAGGAACTCAAAAACAGATCCACCTGCCATTTGAATTGTCACAGATAATAACAGTAAATAACTTAAGGAAGCCTCCGCCATGTGACCTTATGTGACATTTAATTGTGTTACATCGCATGTGTTTTAAATAGAGGAGCTGAGAGACTGACTTAAGGGACTGGAAGAATAAGGGAACAAAGGAGTCAATCTGTGGTCGGTGCCCCTAGAAAGAGACTGGGCTGTCGAGAGTGAAACCCACCTGAGCAAGAGGTGGGACAGGGATGTTCTCAGCAGCTGGACACCAAAGAGTGAGGTGGAGGAAGAAAGTTAAGCAGAATTAGCGTCCTATCTCAAGGACACTTTGGGACAAAAGCAAACCAAACAAAACTGCTTGCCTGGGAAGTTACAGGAAAGAAGACAGCAGAAGGGAAGTGCAGCCTGGTGAACATGACTTCAGTGAGTGATATAGACAATTAGAAATGTGAAGAAAATAATGATTGCTCTGGCTGTTTCTGTTAAGGGAAATTGTGTTATGACGGGGTACACTTAAATCCTTGCCAATCATACTTAAAGCTTACACTTGACAGCTCCTAAGTATAGAGGGCGTTTCCCTCCTTCACACCATGCTATCTATCCCTTCTGGTGGTTCTCACTGGTCCCAGATGCCGTCTGGGGCTGCTCCTGTTACTGAACTCATAGGAGTCCTCCTGGCATGCCTCTTTTGGGTAGTCTTGCTCTCTCTTATGGGCTGTTTAAAATATAACCAGCTAAAGCTGACTGTGCTAGGAGACTGCCTTCAAATCTCATTTACTCTAGAGAGCACGCGTGCTCACCTCTCCCTCTCCCCCTAAGCCTGGAATTGTTTTTAACATGGTTACATCTTACTAATTTAACAAAACAGAAAACTACCATTGCTTTGTTTGCGGGGGGGGGGCAAAGGGTAAGAGAATTGCAAACAAACTTAACCGTATTATTTTGACTTAATTTCATTCGATAATCACTGTAATAAATCTTTGATGATAACAAATGAAAGTGATATTTTGAAATTCCATGTGAAAACACATCTATTTCCAGTGATTCTTAGTGCAGCATTCATTCCCTTCACTTACTCATAGTCTTTCCCCAAAATGTCCCTTGAGGTCGCTTTTGGGGGGAATTCTTTTAATGCAGAATTGACTACCATCTTTTAGTGATTTTCTGTCTGAGCACTTCTGTCTACACTGTTCTAGTTTCTCAACACTTTAAAACTGCTTCTGAGTAACTCACAAACCCAGATCACTTCCAAAACATTGCTTCTCCCGTCTGAAGGTTTATTAAAACAGAATGCTGGACATCAACCAACACCTGCTCAATCCTAGTTAATGATGCTTGGCAGAGGTTTGAAGTGTAGGATAAGAACTAAATCTGAATTCCTAGTGAATTCCCAGATGATATTTATCGGGGGTGGAGGGGGGGTGAACCGCACTCCAGAAACATTGTTTCACTCTGTTGCTTACTTCCTAGCCCTGTCCTCCTCCGCATACTCAGGTATAGCTCCGCATTGCCAGTAGCATCATGCCTGCCTGGCCATGTTTGAGGACTTCCCACATGGTGTCTACCAGTTTCCTTGCTCTCGTCTCTCGCACTTACACTTCTACACTTTCCCCCTCAATCCTCTGTACTTTGTATAAAAGATTTTATATAGCCGGGCGGTGGTGGCGCACGCCTTTAATCCCAGCACTCGGGAGGCAGAGGCAGGCGGATCTCTGTGAGTTCGAGGCCAGGCTGGACCGACAGCCTCCAGAACAATACAGAGAAACCCTGTCTCGTAAATACCAAAAAAAAAATCTACAAAGATTTTATATCATGTAACATATTTTTGAGAAATAAATTCACTCCTGACCCAGCGACAAACAGTTCACAAAGCATAGAAGTGTTTCTTGTCTAATTATCCTTGATGCATTATTTCTTTTTCTATTTTTCTCTTTCAGTCTTTAATTCTTCATTGGATTTATAGTGATCCTGCTAATTCCCGGGTCCTTTGGATTCTAAGACACAAAAGGGAGAAAATATGGAGAAAGGTAAAAATCCAATGTGCATGCATTAATTTTTTTCTTAGCCAGTGAGGTTCATTTACGTTTTTTAATAATAGACATAGCTGTGCTCCGGTTATTTTAAAAATATTTTCCTATATGTTCAGTTTTTGTAGTTCATTAAGTATTTAGGAAGAGTGACTTTATTTTTTTACTTTAGTGGGAAACTATATGACTCCCTTGGTTTTTCAGTTTTGTTGTATAGCACCTATTAGTACCCTGATAGGAAAAATTATATTATATCGTTTCATCTGTCTCCTCTGCATCGCCTCTTCTATTGACTTTAATGAGATCTTGTGTTGCTTAGCATCTGCTTTCATGTAAATATGCTTGAGCTTCCAGTATATGCTGCATCATTCAGGATATCTCCTTTCACCTTCCCTACTCCCGCTGAGACATCCGATTCCACTTGACTTCACCCTTGTCTCTGAAGTGTATTAATAGACTCATTTCTAATGTGAGGGCATAGGACATCAGCATTCTGTTTGGTAATCCCAGGCCCTGCCTTTATTTAATCACTAGTCCTAAAGTGGAATGTTTCCAATGGTCTCCACTAATCTTTTTCTCATACTTAATTTTGTCCCTATGATTTGGTTCAAGTCAGTCTCTAACAATTTTCTAAGAAGGTCTGGGTGAAAAACAGACCCAAATTGCAAGTCTGAGTATTTGGAAACCATAACTTTGGAGATATGTTACATGGAGTTGTGTTTCCTCTTATACATGATTAGAATTTTTCTTTAAACCTGAACTCATTTTTTCTTATTCCTTCACAATCCAATGGTATTACTAGTTCAAGTCTCTGTACTGACAGCTGCTGTGACTTTTTCCTGGCATTTGTAGCTTGTCTTTTGCTCACATTAAAAATCTTACTTGAGGAATAGTTCCTTGATGTATGTCTCAAATCTTGCTTGCTATTTTCATATCTTCCTTCTTTAGGGTCTTTAGCTATACCTTCTGAAGGCCTTTTTTCAACTGTTTTATTTAGAGATGATATAAACATATAAAGGCATGAAAATACACTGTGCTATCTTTTTAAATGTTTTCTTGACTTTCATTTTGTTTCCCCTTAACTCTTTCAAAGTTCAGTTGGAAATATTTTAGATAAATATCTCTTTCATTATGATTACCATTAAGTAGCACCTATCAAATCTCTGTATTGCTGTATACTCATGTTTAATGGTCACATGTTTGTTTCCACATTCTTTGTCATTACCATTTCGGGCTTAGGCAAAACATACAATGAGTGCTCTCAGAAATACCGGAGTAGTTTTTCTACTTTTCCCCTTCACTGAATCTCTGCATGACTCTTGTTTGATGACTTAAAAGATAATGTAGTCAGAATGAAAGTTAAAAATTAACTAAGAGCGAATCTGGTACTATGGGATCACAAGTCTATATAAAGTTCTTTATCTTCTGGGAACTCAGTTAATTATGGAAAAATCACACAAATCAATTATTGGCCAGGTTCTTGTTTAAAAACATGTTGACTTTGCTATGGGATGCATTATGAATTTGACTTAAGGCTCCAGTTTATCATTCCCTATATTATAAAAGTCCTATTTGGACACTGGTTGAAGTAAAACACATAAAGCTCATGGTGAAGTTGGAGGTCCCTCCTGCCATTGTTCAGCCCCTGGCCTTCAGTGAATTCATAATTGTCAAATGTTCACACTGTGAAAACACAGTGTCACTCTGCCAGTCTTCAGTAAAACCTGATGTAATATAGGGACAAAAACAAGTACGCTTGAAGACAAGTGAAACATGGTACGGAAATAAAGGAAGAAGGAGACAGGTTCTAGAAAGATTAGGAGAAATGCATGGGAACAGTGGAAGAAGGCTTAAGCTGAGTCTTTGTGGAGCTTTGTCTGAGAATGGCCTCTGTAGGCTCACGTATCTGAATGCTAAGTCATAGAGACGGGCACGATTTGAGAAGCATTAGGATGTGTGGTCTTGATGGAGTAGGTGTGGCCTTGTTGTAGGAAGTGTGTCACTGGAGATTTCAAATACCCACACCAGGCCAAGTGTGTCTTGCTCTGCCTCTCTGCCTTTGGATCAGGATGTAGCTCTCAGCTACTGCTCTAGTACCACATGTGCCGCCATGCTTCTCGCCAGCATAAGAGACTAAACTTCTGAACAAGTCCTCAGTTAAATGCTTTCTCTTCTCCTAGTTGCCTTGGTCATGGTTTTTCTTCACAGCAACAGAACAGTGACTGAGACAGTCTTAAAGGAACAAAAGGATTTGTAGAGCCTGGAATGCTGAAGTGACAAGAAGGTCCTGTGACCCAAGCAACAGATGAGCAAGAACTAAGAGTAGAGGTCAGGTAGTAGAGGTAGCAAGAGGTTCAGCCTGAGGTAGTGACCTGCATCATGAGGAGAACCCTCTCATGTGGGCCTCAGTGAGATCAGTATTTTGATGTGCTGTGAAGAAAAGAGTTCCAGGGTGCCTTAGTTACTTTTCTATTGCTGTGAAGAAAACATCATGACCAAAAGAAACTTTTGGAAAAAAGAATTATTAGAGACTTATAGTTTCAGAGGTAAGTCTGTGACCATCATGGCAGGGAATATGGGCAATCAGGTGGGCAGGCATGGAGCTGGAATAGTAGCTGCCATCTGTCTCGTCCATAAGTATGAGGCAGAGAGAGAGGCCAAATGGCTTGGGCCCCTCCAAGTGACACACCTCTTCCAACAAGATCATACCTCCTAGTCCCTCCCAGTTTCACAAACTGGGGATCAAATATTCAGATATGTGAACCTTTGGAGGACATTCTTATTAAAAATGGCCATACAGGGTGAGTCAACGTGACACCTTTGATCCCAGTGCTAGGGAGGCAGAGGCAGAGGCAGCTGGATCTCTGTGAGTTTGAGACTAGCCTGGCCTATAAAGTAAGTTCTAATTCTAATACAGCCAAGGCTGTTACACGAAAAAAAGCTGTCTCGAAACAAAACAAAACAAAACAAAACAAAAAAGCTACAGTCAAGTTTAAATAAGGTTTAAAAATTAGGTAAAAACTCTCTAACTTTCCAACACTTAGAATCTGAAAACAAAATACCATCAATAATTCATTTATGAAATGACTTTCATTTTTACTATTGTGTTCATTGATAATTGAGTAGAGGAGAAGTAGGATATAAGCAATTATAAAAAAAATAAGATGAATTTCCTGATGCCTAGATTCAGGCTACAGAATGGAATTCTGTCCCGCAAAGTCCTAATGGTATATTTTTGTGTCTTCATCTGATTTTGATGTTCTGGCTTCTAAAATGTCTATGATGTTCTCTACATGATGGACAAGTTCCTAAATATCTTTTAAAGTGTGTGTGTGTGTGTGTGTGTGTGTGTGTGTGTGTGTGTGTGTGTGTGTGTATTGGTAGGCAGAGGTCAACACTGGGTGCCTTCTATAGGTGTCTACCCTTTTTTTTTTTTTTTTTTTAATTTTATTTCCCAGTTTAAATTTGGATAAGAATCAAGGTTGCTTCACAAGTCAGTTCCAGGTCCCTCTCCCATTCCCTCCCTTCCTCCCGTGCCCTCCCCTCCCCCCCCGTTATCCTCTCATTTCTCCAGGGAGGGTGAGGCCCTCCATGGGGGTGTCCATAGTGTGTCATTTCATATAGGGCAGGGCCTAGACCCTTTCCCAAGAGTTCTGGGTGAGAGTGCTCCTCACATTGTTCTATTGGAGTCCAAAGTCCGTGTGTATACTTGGGATGGGTACTGATCTGCTGCCCAAGGCTCAATAGATTCCCTAGGCCTCTTCACTGACACCCAGATTCAGGGGGTCTTGATCAGTCCCATGCTGGCTTCCCAGGCTAATGCCTGGGATTCAAGAGTTAACCTTTGTCTGGTCAGCTGTTTCTGGGGGTTAAACCAGCCCAGTCTTAATCCCTTTGATCATCAGTCCTCCCTCTCTGTTACTGGCTTTCTTGAGTTCAGCTCAGTACTTAACCAAGGGAGTCTGCCTCTTCTTCGATCAGCCACTAAATAAAGTTTCTGTTTCCCAGACTCTCTGGCCATAGGATTGTAGGCTGGCACTCCCCAGATCTATGTCTAAAATCCATATATGAGAGAGTACATGCCATGTTTCTCTTTTTGTGACTGGGTTACCTCACTCAGGATGGTTTCTTCTAGTGTCATCCATTTGCCCGCGAATCTCATGATTCCATTATTTTTTTCAGCTGAATAGTACTCCATTGTGTAGATGTACCACATTTTCTCTATCCACTCTTCGGGTGAGGGACATCTAGGTTGCTTCCACGTTCTGGCAATTACAAATAAAGCTGCTATGAACATAGTGGAACAGACCTCTTTGCTGTATGAATGGGCATCTTTTGGATATATGCCTAAGAGTGGAGTTGCTGGGTCTTGTGGTAGGTTTATTCCCATTTTTCTGAGGAATCTCCACACTGATTTCCAAAGTGGCTGAACCAGTTGGCACTCCCACCAGCAATGGAGGAGTGTCCCCCTTTCACCACATCCTCTCCAGCATAAATTGTCATTGGTGTTTTTGATTTTAGCCATTCTGACAGGGGTGAGATGGTATCTGAGAGTTGTTTTGATTTGCATTTCCCGGATGGCTAAGGATGTTGAGCACTTTCTCAAGTGCCTCTCAGCCATTTTAGACTCCTCTATTGAAAACTCTCTATTTAGTTCTGTAGCCCACTTTTTAATAGGGTCCTTTGGTGTTTTGGAGACTTGCTTCTTGAGTTCTTTGTAAATTTTGGAGATCAACCCTCTGTCAGATGTGGGATTAGTGAATATTTTTTCCCATTCTGTGGGCTGCCTTTTTGTCTTGCTGACTGTGTCCTTTGCCTTACAGAAGCTTCTCAGTTTCAGTAGGTCCCATTTATTAATTGTTGATCTTACTGCCTGTGCTACTGGTATTATGTTCAGGAAGCTGTCTCCTGTACCAATTCGTTCAAGGGTACCACCTACTTTCTCTTCTAAGAGGTTCAGTGTGGCTGGATTTATGTTGAGGTCTTTGATCCATTTGGAC